AAATTGGTCAAAAATGTTTTGCAAAATATAATTAGATTTTCAAAAATTTATTAAAATATTTTAAAAGTATTTAAAGCTTTTTCTCTCAAAACATTTTAATTAAAAAACAAAAAAAGTTTTCGAGCTGAATTATTCCGTTGCTCGTTGTTCCATTCCCACCTGTTCCAAAGTTTTTAATTTGAGATTCCAACGAATAAAAATAGTTTTAACGTTTCAAAAATCCTTCTCTGTCTCTTATTTCCACTCCAACCCACCTTTGCTCTTCATACTCGCAATTGTCATCACTATGGGCGTGCTATCAGCTGTCAACTGTCATGATTTTCGATTTCATCGCATACAAAAATGACAACTCAATAAACATTGGTAACGCCTCAAAGCTCAAACACAGATTTCGCGTGCCAGGTTGTCAAGCAGACGACAGACAGCCAAACTACCGTAGCAACTACCATGAAAGAAGTCGCCAACACCACAGCAAGCAGCCGACAGCAGTCAGCCAGTCAAACTCGCCGTGTTGGCCAAAAGTTGACGCCCACTTTCACATAAATTCACATAAATATCAATGGTGGTATTAAGAAATTGCCGTGAATATATCATTTACAGTGGCACAGCGTGCGACTCCTTGCGAGCGCAGACAACGGAAGACACTTGGCTTGGCGTGCCGCGTAAATGAGCAATCATCGTGACTGTTGTTGTCATTCGATTTCGCCCAAATTGCAACCGCCGCTTGTCAGTGCATTGAAAGCACTATGAAACTACTGGGCCCCGACCAGCGCTTCCCGCGCGGGGCAACGTCCAGGGCTGCATGAAAGCGCCTGTCATTTCGCCGCTGACACGCGCAGAGTCGCGCTCAAACTTGCATTGTCATTGCTTTGACAGCGCATTTAATGGAAAAGTCAGTTCGTGTGCTTAGTGAGGATAGCGGTCGCCTGTGAAAGGGGCGTACTTTCAAAGAAATTTCGTCATATGTTCGGCATTCCTGGCAACTCAATTTGCGGTTAACTAACATTTACTTAAATATTTATTTGTTGGTTGTTAATTTGCTAGCAGAAAACTTTAGTGATACTTACTTCTTTTCCCGCTTGCCAGCGCCGGTATCACGAAAGCCCTTCGCAAAGGGATTGTTATCGATTTTTAATTGAGTAATCTGTAAGTAGGAGAGAGAGAGAGAGAGAGAGAGATCGAGAATGGATTAATTGCAGAATAAATAAATTTATTTGTTTTAACAATAATTTTCTGTTTAGGTTGTGTGGTTTTTTATCTTATAATATAGTTATGTAATGCTAAGTTAAGATTATTAAATTAAGTTTCCTTAAGTTTTAATTAGGTTAAGTTAAGTTAAGTTTTCATATGTTGAAATTACGTTATGTTAAGTTAAGTTTTCTTACGTTACCGTTAAGTTATGCTAAGTTAAGTATTCTTATGTTAAAATTATGGTATGCTAAGTTAAGTTTCTTATGTTAAAGTTATGGCATGCTAAGTTAAGTTTTCATATGTTGAAATTAGGTTATGTTAAGTTAAGTTTTCTTACGTTACCGTTAAGTTATGCTAAGTTAAGTTTTCATATG